GTGAGTGAGCGGTTGTACGGATTAAGCGTACGTCCAAAGACATGATTGAAAGTTTCTGGCCACTTTCAAAGGAAATTATCAGGGGCCAAGAATGTATTAAACGAGAGGATAAAGCCTTACCATTAACGTTTGTGGAATATTGGTTTTCACGTACAGCACAGCTCCACATGACTCTAAAATATCAACGAGGACCGAATTCTTAGTTGCATATTGATTGATCCAAGAAACGTAACCTGGGGGTTTAGGAAATTAAGGTATAAGCGGGCGGAGAAATGGAAGGTCTTGGTGGGGGGCGATACAGACCCATAGTTGATTCTATCCCTTTGATGTTTAGTTGATCCTTTAAAGAGATGGGTAACCCTAAATCAAAAGTGCTAGTAAGATTTACGACCTTGGATTTACCAAATAAAAAGACTTGACTAACCATGTAAGGGTCCTACAACCGTTCCGGTCGTCTTAAGATGTTCATCGAGTTGGGAGGCTCGTGCCAGTGCACGTTCGATAAAAATCTCAGTGAGACAGTTAACCTAGGTGACTTGAGTTCATTCTTGTTCAAATCCAATGTTCGGGCGAAAACTCACCAGCTGGTGGGCAATAACAGCACGTTTAGAAAACGCTGTGGTCACTTCTACCGCAGACCAAGATCCATTGGCCAAACGTTCGAGAAGGGGACCAACTTCAGAATTTGTGATCTCGATTTCTTTTTTTGACAGTAAACCGGACTTCTCTGGAAAGTCGATAACGTTAAGTGTCTCCTGAGAAGGTATATTTTCTAGGATCCATTCTTTAGGGATTGCAGCTTTCTGTCGAATTGTTTTCTCGGAAACGAGCTCCTTCCAGTGCTGGGTTGCCATATTGAAGGTAGTAGTCGATTATACAGCCATGCGAATGCTTATAAGCAGCTATCGATAAGCATCGTGGGATATAGATCCTGCATACCGGTAGAATGAGCTACACGAATGGTACCGGGTGTAGATAACATTATTAACAAAGGTTAAACATAGTCACGAGCCATCACGCTTCCCATGCAATGCATCGTCTTCTCAAGGTCACTCTGAGCAGCAAACCTTGACGCATCTCACACTCTGGACGAGAGCTCACAGTGATAATAATTCTACTTTTTTTTCTTCTTCAAGTCCAGAACTCTAAGTACAAGTCCAATGCCTTTAGTCCAATAGAATTACACAGCTAGAGAATCCCCATAGATCGATCATGCTTTACAACGACGGACTCTGCTCTCGTCGATTTGTTAGGCATCTCTTCCCAAATAGGATCGACATCCGGTCCATCCAAATCGCCAGCACCGTCCCAGCCCCAACACCATACTAGAGAGAGAGAGAAGAGACGTTAGCCGGCGCCATGTAACGTCTGAGATACGAGAATGTGACTAACCGAAGCTTGGACCTGGCATGAAGCTTAAGGGTTGACCCTCTTCTTCAGTAAATAGACGGTCATGGGGACCGAACCATGAACGATCTTGTGGATCTGTACGTGGATCATCTGGGAGACCGCCTAGGCGGACATATCCTCGAATAGCCGTCAGATTCCGTCTTGCTGGATGGATGATATCATATACTTTCTGTAACAGGGTATGAGAATCGAAAAAAAGGAATCAAAAATATACTTACGCTATCATAAGCCAACTTTACTCTTGGAACAATCATAATTCTCCCATAACCAGCTTCCCAGTAATCGTTACAGATCAAACTGCATTCGCTAGCACTGCATTCACCCTCCGTAATTCTTGCCATCCGGAACTGGACGTGTGGGGGAGAGTAGAAAGGAGCAGGATCCAGAACCGCGATTCCATTCCAACAAGACTGGACTTGGACAGGTAAATGATGTTGGAACCGTTGCGAAGACTCTGTATGATGGAATATGCGCTCGAAAGGTGCATTTTCCAAGGCCGTCCCGTTGATATCCCTGGCCACCCAATTGTCATAGAACACAGGCGAAGCTATTTCTTGATGATACATGTAATCTGCCGCGCATGTAATTCCAGCGTTATTCCTACGGCTCTGCCATATGAGCTCCAAAATGTCATCAATACATGGAAGAACATCGTTCATGAAAATGATAGAATCGAAATATTCGCCTTCCGAATCGCGGAGTTCGTGAAGAGGGACGAAGGCTGAGTTGCGGACTTCGGCTAGATATTCTATGCGATGATTGAACGCCCCACGAGTACGCGTGGATGTACGAATCATGACACGCATGCCTACGGTTCTGGTTAAGCTGTCGAATATCCGCAGAAGGGCTTTTGTTTGGTCGGTAGAACCATTTTCGTAAATTGAGACAAAGACGTTATGATACCCAAGGATAGCAGCCACGCGAAAGAGAGTGGCAAAGAGGTCCGGGATGATATCGAAGGAATTGTAGAGGTTAATAGCGAAGAAGTATTTATGTTCACTAGCAGCTAGGTCTCTCCTAACGTTTTGGATGTGATCACTGTCTGCTCCTAGCAAGCCTGAGAGCCAGGAGTTACCAGCAGGGATATTCTGACCAATCAGAGGTGAATAGCGCTCAAGGGCTTGCTGGGCATATAGTGGTTGAGAGTTGCGGGTGCATTCTCGGGTATAATGTGGTGAGAGTGTTGCTAGGAGGTCCAGGACCCGCGCTCGTTGGTCAAGTGTTGGTAGTCGGATAGGTTGTCGACTTTGTTGATTCAATTTGACTGGTATATGACCGCTCCTCCAGATAGGCATTGAAGTCTGCCAAGGACCGTGATGAGCTGTTATTTGGGTTTCAAAAGTCAAAAACCTACCCTCGTCCAAGGCCAAATCCGACCAAAAATGAAGCCACATAGGATGCCTATTGTCAACGCGAGGGATGTGGGTATCCTTCGCAGTTGACGAGTTAGACCAGCCCTGAGCATGGTAAGAGGCAAAAAGACGGAACGCCCCTGAGTTCAAATAATTTAAAACACGATCGATTCCCGCGACTTCATTGTCGGATGCAACGTCGAACAGGTCGAGGCCACGCTCATATCTCGCCACCTCAACAGATGGGTATGAACTCAGAGAAAGCCATTCATCGTCCTATGGGCCTCAGAAACCGCATATGGATATTCCTAATCGTCCTCGTATTCATGATTTCAGTCACCTATTTCATATGGCCATTATCTGGTAGTGGGACTGCCGAACAAATTTACTCGAATGCAGACCTTAAATCGAAAAACTATTTCAATGAAACCGAGGCTGGCCCAAACCCATTCACGTTTTGTCCAAACTATGGGCCAGATGATGTACTAGGGAACAAGTATGGTACTGTAACGCTGTCAAACAGCATAGTTAATCTCGGCAGTGGGACTCGTATCCAACGAGTGCTGAATAGGGCGCTCGCAGGCCAGCCGGTTACGATTAGTATTCTTGGTGGTTCAGGTAAGTGGTTACTTCTCCCCGCTCATACTATTTTCAATGAAAACACCGTGTAATAGTATCAGCTTGCCATGGATCCGGAGATGACCCAATATCCCCAAAATGTTACCCTTCCAAATTCTTCCAATGGTGGAACACGGTATTCCCCCATCCAGCTTCTGAGCTCACAAACGGTGCCATGCGACGTACAAGCTCAAACTACTTTGGCTACTGCAACTCCCATCACCTTCCAGACGTTACAGACATGGTAATCATAGAACTAGACACAGAAGACTCTCCGTGCGTACCTCGCATAGTTTTCTCATAAATCTCGAATTCTCACCCAAGCGTTCTTAACAGTGGTCCAGAAATGATGGAGAACTTTGAAATTCTCATTCGTTCCATCCTCATTCGTCCAGATCAACCAGCAGTGCTTGTCCTTGGCCATTTCAGTCCTCAAGTACACGATACACATGGTTTTGTAGGACCAGATCATTGGCATACTATTGTAGCCCAGTTCTACGACGTACCCCATGTCACTATCAAACCTGCTGTGTTGCCGGAATACACGCAAAACCCTACCAGCATCATAAACAAATATTATGTTGATCCAGTCCTGGCCAACACTCAAGGGCATGATCTCATCACCGACATCCTCGTCTCCTACTTCCAGTCCCAAATCTGCACTGCATGGTCAGTCGCTCATGGCGCAGCATTCGATGCCATTCCTTTCCACACTCCAGGAGGCTCTGGGGATGCTCACGGATTATTCGGTGGTGTAGGACAGAGAAAAGGTGTCCCTGAACATGACGACGACAAAAAACTTGATATAGATGCTGAGGGCAACCGTCTTAAAGCTGATCTGATATCAACCAAAGAAGCTCATCACGCTCTTGCCAGCATTCCTGCTCGAAGAATGAATACCCCTTCAAACCCGAGTCGACCGTACGAAGAAATCGCACCGTATTGCGTTTCGGCGAACGATCTTATTAATCCACTACCACCATCTCTTTTCTACGGTTCAGGTTGGTACGCTTACCATCCATCGGCGTCAGGAGGAAACGCGCTTTACACCTCATCTCATTACTGGTACTCGACTCTCCCTACCAGCAAAATCAGGATACCACTACAAGTAGGAGCAGGTGATATCGGGATTTATTATCTCAGAGAACCTATTTCCAAAGTCGGTGAAGGAAGTTCGGTTGAATGTTGGGTAGATGATAATTATGGAGGTGCCAAAGTTATCGAAAATGCAGCTGATATCGCTGAAGAAACGACTGCGTACGTTTTTCTTTTTTTCTTTTTTTTCTTTGTCCATCATGATTTACTATTTCGTTCAGCTTGCGTATCATTGATCATATGGTTACTCGCGGATCCCATTTTGTCGAATGCCAGTTATTAGGCGAAGAGGGTCAAGGAGTACCCAGGTTTAAGATTATTGGCGTATTTTCGACATGATAATTTAACTGACTTTACTGAATTGACAAAACAAAAAAGAACACCTATAGTATTTCGTTTGGCTGCTGCTTTCGTACATAGACATACATCTGTAACTGGTATCGATGATTGCATGGACTTTTACACCCTGCACAAAGCGATGAGCGGAATCGTGTTTCACTCTTATGGATGATAATGTAGCAAAAATGGACACTGAGGGATTTGAACCCTCGACCTCATGCAAGCATCTTAGAAGTGCAAAGCATGCGCGCTACCCCTGTGCCAAGAGCCCATATGTTTTATTCCGAGCCATCAAAGGGTTTTTTTAAAAGGTCAAAACAATCTGGACGTCCCAAGCTTGTGTGACGCTGTTCAAACTTTACCACCACCAATGATGGCATCTGCATTAAGCAAAAAATCTAGTTGTTCAGCTCTTGGCGCCCCATCTCAACATAATCAATCAAGTAGAAAAGGCAAGAAAGCATGGCGCAAAAATGTCGACATAGGCGATGTTGAACAAGGTTTGGAAGGATTAAGACAAGAGGAAAGAGTTACTGGGTATACCATTCATTTCCCCACCTCAATATAAAGTTTCTGATATAAAAATTTTCGTGTAGCACGATTTTACAAAAAATAAAGGATAGCGACTTGTTCACAGTCGATTTGATTGGAGATGAACAGAGTGCGCATATACACCCTCCCAAAACCACAAAAAAAAAGACTTACATGGGCTACTTACCTCTAGTCCGCAAGTCGACGCCCAGATATTCTGCTGCCCAATTGACTTCAAGCAAAATACTTGCACAACGGTCGGCAGTGCCTGCTGTTTTTTCACGAACAACCAGTACTACGATTACGGGCAAGCGAAAATCGGTACTAACCCGAGAAGAAAAAGACAAGTTGATGCGTATCGCCAAACGACCTCGTAAAGGTCCTTTCAATAGTATCATGGATCCATCAGAATACGCTGCTGGTAGTGGGACTGTGGCTTTGAGTGCAGCTGTTAAGAACAGTGGAACATATGATCCGTGGGTCCCTCAACTTGTTGAAGAAGTCAAGGATGGTTTGGAGACGGTGCAAGAAAAGAAATTCAAGGTGTGTATGTATTTTTTCCTCAGTTCGAATATCGTGGTCTGATTGCTCGACTTGTTTCTGTCTTTGCCAGCCACCTGTTTTAACTAAACAACGAGACTTGATCGATGTCCCGGCGATTGTCGAGCCTCATCAAGGTACCTCATATAATCCCCCTGTCGATGCCCATCAAGAACTCTTATCGAAAGCGGCTGCGATTGAGGAGAAACGTCTCAAAGATGCTGAAAGATTGGCGGCGGTGAAAGCGAAAATGGATAATGCCCTACAAGAATCTGACGGGCTAGATAACTCGGCAGCTGCGGGGATGGCGGTAACGAGTCAAGTTGACGACGAAGACGAAGACGAAGAGGCAGTAGAGGAGGAAGGAGACGGCCAGAAGTCTATAAAACTTCCAGAACGAAAAACAAAAGCTCAAAAAAATAAAGCAACTCGAGTCCTAGCTGAAGTCTGTCTCCTTGTTTCCCCATCCTTTTCCCTATGAAAACTCATTCATGGGCGGTTTAGAAACGAGCTCTAATACAACGAGCCGAACGTAAACGATTGCTAGCATCCATTAGCGGCGCCAAACAACTGCGTAAATCAAATACTGAGCTCAAGTCCATTCGAGATCAACAAAAAGAGGAAAGACGACTTGCCCTAGCTGAAAAACTACGAAAACAAGGTTTAGCAGGACAAAAACTTGGGAGACACAAGGTACCGGAAAGCGAGTTGGCTGTTCAGTTGGGTGAAGATCTTAGTGAAAGTTTGAGGGGATTAAAAGTGTGTTGGTTTTTTTTTGCATTGGCTTTTTATTTTATTGGATGTTAATTTTGATGTGGTGTTTGTTTTTTTAAAGCCTGAAGGCAATCTTTTTAGAGATAGATTTCAGAGCCTTCAACAGAGGGCTTTGATTGAACCTCGGGTTCTTGTTCTGTACGTATTTTTTCCCCTTCCTTATCGTCCTCCTAATGCTTGCCATATTTAGACCGAAGAAACGTAGACATAAGATGGTAGAATATGAGAAGCATGCTTGGAAGAGGTTCGAGTAGATGTTTATATCTTTGTTATATAGCCAGTCCTTTCAAGAATCAATCTGAGTGCATGAATTCATTTGGTTGACTAAAAAGGCAATCAACATATTGACTCCCGACCACCTTGTACCACAATACTGACTCTGATCCTATACACTATCAGTTATACATCATGGACATAGATCGCGTCGAGGAGGCACAACATGGTGGTAGTAGCTCGACACAGCCGACGAGGAAGCAAATCGTGCTTCCAGTGGACGACGCTCACCCATTCGACCTCGAAAGCTACAGCTCCAATTACACAGGTCAGTCTTTTTCCGTTCACCTGAAAAAGATTGGCTACACGTACTGATTGAATTTTGAAAAACACAAAAAAGGTCGTACGAGTATTGAGAGACTTATCCATATCATGTTGCATTGTCCTTCGATAGCGCCTGAAGCATTTCAACTTTGTGTCCAACATATCCACCAATCTCGCGACCCATCGTTATATCAAAACTTGCTTGCAGCATACGAACAGTTGGCGAACAATACCGAGTTGAACCTACCCAATATGATGGAACTTGCAGAGTTGGATGTGAAATGGGCAGATGAGACCATAGCGAAAAATCAAGCTGATCGTATCAAGTTGGAGGTAGAGTTGAAGACGTATAGTAATAACATGATCAAGGAGAGCATTCGGGTGTGTCTCTCTTCTTCTTTTCAAAAGCTTACCTCTTCTCGATATTCATGCCCCACCTTTTTAGATGGCACATCGTGATCTTGGCGATTTCTTTCGTGCAGTTGGTGACTATGGTACCTCTTTGAAACATTACACCAAATCACGCGAGTTCTGCACGACAAGTCAACATGTTCTGGATATGTGCATGTCTATCTTAGAGGTGAGTCTCTGAAAGAGTTGGAATAGTTTCGTAATCCTTCAGTCTTTATTCTAATTGTTCATCTTATACCAATTGCTGATAACTTTCGTTTGTTTACGCCAATATCTAGCTACTGATCGAACATAGGAACTATGCTCATCTCAACACATATGTCTTCAAAGCCGATGCAGCACTTGATGCAGCTACGGCTGCTAATGCTTCCGCCACTGCACCTGGAGGTGGCACCCCCGTGCCCACAGCTGTCATTGCCGGCAAGAAGAAATCGGTAGAAAGAGACAACGTACAATCCAAACTCGATTTGGCCACAGCATTGTCATATCTATCTTCAGCAAGTTACGAAAAAGCTGCCATATCGTTCTTGAAAATCGGTCCTCCGAAAGACCTAGGCGATTGGATTGGAAAGGTCAGTTTTTCTCTTTATCAAATTTGCTACCATTGAACCTTGGTTTTCAGCTAGTGGCACCTGGAGATATAGCGATATACGGAACGCTATGTGCTCTCGCGACTTTCCAGCGATCGGCCATCAAGTCAAGAATCCTAGAAAACTCTATCTTTGGGTCTTACATCGAACAAGAACCATATATGCGAGAACTGATCGAAGCATATATGAACAGTAATTTCAAAGTCGTTCTAGAACTACTTTCACGATATTCAGTACGTTTCTTATAACCACATTCTTACATTTCTTATCTTCTAACTGATATTTTTCCAGACACGACACTGCATAGATATTCATCTCTCGCCACATGTACATGACCTGACATACCTTATCCGGAACTGTGCTGTGGTTCTTTATTTCCAACCTTTCGCCACGATTAAGCTTGAACGAATGAGTGCTGCCTTCGGTTGGACGATTGAGGAGGTTGAATATCATGTGGTGAATCTCATTCAGTCTGGGGATATCCAAGGACGCGTGGATAGTCAGAATAAGGTAAGGAAATGGGGTTTTTATGTTTCACTTGATATCTTTTCTGATAATTTTTAATTGAAACCGGCCACAGATCTTGCAAGCGAAGAAGACAGATTATCGTGCTGAGTTGTTCGCGAGGGCCATCAAAACTGGTAGAGAGATGCAGGCTGCTAATAGGAAATTGTTACTCCGTATGCGATTGTGCGTAATTTTACTTTTTTACCTTGTGATTAATTATTAAACTTGTTTCTGTATAGACAACAGGCGGAACTTATCGTCAAGCAGCCAAAGGGAAGTGCTAATCAAGGATCGGTGATTGATTTCTTGCAGAGTGCAGAATAGAGCTTGTACTTTTTTTTTAATTGTTGTCAAATTCGTTCTTTATTCCTTTTCCTTTCCTTAGCACATACACCAATCCACCATGTATTTTCAAAAGACTTGCGTAATGTTTTTGTACTAACAAAGGCCCCGGGAAGCTCCTGATGCTTGGTGTCGGAAAATCACCCAAAATCGCCCTCAAATGTAGGGCCTCAAATACGACAGAGCTTATCATGTGATGTTCCCAAATGGTAAATTTCTTCCGCTAGTAAATTATACTGCCTCTTTGGCGGATCCAACTCTTCTAGCAGGGACAGCAAGCTGTTAGCATTGCACATTCCATCGTAGTCTCATCTACACATAATGATTAAGTAATGTTCCCTGCGAAGGCCCTAATTTTGCCCGATTTCTAGTAGTACAAAACTCAGTTGTTTGCTAGGCCAACTTGAGGCAAATGACTGATATTTATTTAATACACACCTAATAGTACAACATGACACCTTGGTGTATTTGTAATCACTTTGATTGATTCAAACATTATATACCAGTGCTCATAGCTATTGCAATCAGACTAACATATATATATAAAAGATGCAAATCCATTGTCAGGTAATAAGCAGTGAGCGCTAAGAAGTTCTGAATTCATTGAAAGATTTAATTCTAAGTCAGTAGTGGTTAGTCAGTGCACAGTGTAGAATTGAAGAGGTTTACCATTTATTTATTTATTTTTCTTTTTCTTGAGTGGACCTCTATCCCTATATTCTATGGAATGGGTATGGAATGAGTATGGAGTCCATCTCTATATTCCATGGAATGGGTATGGAATGGGTATGGACTCCATCTCTATATTCCATGGAATAGGTATGGAATCTGTATTTCATGGATTCCATTCCTCATTCCATGGAATCCACCCCCTATTTTATGGATTAACCTGGGGAGGGTAAAGTCAACCTCTTTGGATGAAATTGACTGAAGATCACTTGGTTGTGAGGGTTTGAAAGCAGAATAAAAAAATTGACTCCTGAGAAATGCTGAGAATATATGGTATAGTATTTTTTGTCATATTCATTGTGGTCCATGT